CAACGCCAGGGTTGGGCTAAATCAACCAGTAAAAACGGTGCAAAAGCATACTTAGATATACAAATAAAATAAAATCATTATATGCACTTTATTGTGCGAATAACTAATGAATATAGGTAAGCATGGTTGCTTATATATATATATATATATATATATATATATATATATATATATATATATATATATATATATATATATATATATATATATATATATATATATATATATATGTATATATGCATATATATGCCTATATATATATATATATATATATATATATATATATATATATATATATATATATATATATATATATATATATATATATATATATATATACCACCGTGGTCAGGCCGGCATATTTTTCAAGCTTGCCCGGTGTGCATGGATATACACTCAGAGTAACATCATATATTCACCTGAGTACATACATAACACCATCACAGAAAATTCATGATTATTAGATTGCATTGATATCGAAGGAACTAGACTCAGTTCCGAAATATCACATACTCGAACCGACCTGACCGCGTACTTGGAAGTCTGGTGGAGCATTGTGCTAGTCAGTCCAAAGGTCGTGGGTTCGATTCCCACCGAGTGGTCAGGCATAATTTTCAAGCTTGCCCGGTGTGGATATACACTCAGAGTAACATCACAAACATCAATTATATATTTAATAAATAATTATGACGATCGACCCTTATATAATTCTGTTATTATTTTTACAAAGTTCATCAGTTAATATATTTAATTATTTATTCTCCTTTACGTTATCTTTGTAAACAAAGTTGACCACTACACGAATTAGATCGTTGGTTTAATATGAAATGATGTGGCATGCAGTCTCTATAGGTTAGCTCAGCTATTTTAAAATACCCTAACTATACTTATCTATTTAATCTTGTAATATATTCATATGCATTGTCTCATATAAATAGAAATAAGTCTTTGATTGATTTGAATGAATTTGGCGATAAGTTAGGTGTTCCTTCAGCAAAATATTTTTTGACAGACATATTGGAATTTGAATCATTTAAACCGGGAAAACATAAATTTCATATAGAGTTCAAATAACACATTATTCTTGATTTAACATTAAATTGATTTTATATTAGTATTTAAAATTATTTGTCGTTGGCAATGTTTTCAGCGGAGTAGGAATGTTATACAAAGTAGATTTCCCATGATATGTTCTGAACCGTGGTGACGGGGCGTGGTCAGTAAAATTGTTGATCTGGCTGCGTCCCTACCTACACTGGTACAAACCGTTCGAGATTATATTTACTGTACATATCATATACCTGCATAAAATACTTTCACTGCCACTGGGCCATTTTGCCACGATCGAGCCCGTTTGAAACATGCGAAGGTGAAAATTTCGTCTGCAAAACAATCAGTTTGATACTACCTCCACAAAAATTTAAATTAAAATTTAATTTAAATTTTATTCTGACTATAAACTCCGCGGGAGAAACTTTTTGATCCTCGCGGAATCTCACAAATGGCAACAAGGTTTAAACATACAACTGCTGGCAAAATTCCTGATTACGTATACTCAGTAATATATAGAAATGCTATACACAGAGTATAACAGAAATTCATCTTAAAACAGTAGCTAGCCGAATTCATCAGTATTCGAGGCGGACTCGTCTATGAAAACCCGTGTGAATATAAATTTGCATGGGAACGGAATCGGTCTGAAATTTTATAATTTTATATGTGTGTTTCGATAATTGTCTAGTTTCAGTCTTTTACCGTGCTTTATTGCAACGTTTTAGCCACTCACTTAATCCGTTAACGTCTGCAGATTTGAGACGAGTTTCTCGTCTAGACCTGCAAGCTTCTCCATTTACTGTTCGGAGTATTCCGCATTTTCGGAACACTAATGGAATGGAACAGAAGACAGTCACATGACTGTTCTAAACTGTTCTGACTACCCCACAGATATCTTATATACACTAGATAGCACATCTCTTTTAGTAAAATTGAAGCCAAGAATATTCCAGCGGTTACCCCCATTTGAATAGATGGCGGCCATGTTGGTCGTTCCCACTTGCTAATAAACGCTTAAAAACAACAATAACTTCACCATTTGAGTAGTTTAATAACGTATTTGGAATAAGGTTAACTTAATGTTTAAGCTCCCTGTTTAAGAAATAGAAAACATACGAATCTTCTCATTTCATGGGAACGACCTGAGACTGCAATCACGGCTTGAATTTTTGATTTGCAGAATAATTACATGCACTATCTATAAGATATCTATGAACTACCCCGATTTTCGAGTAGGGGCAGCCAACAGACACATGACACTGCCCATTTTCAAGTGATTGGAAATGGAGGCGACATATTCTGTGTATCCAATGCACACTGCATATATAGAGTGTTATTTTGAAGGGTTAACCGACATATGCTTATTATATGCTATTCCAACGCCAGGGTTGGGCTAAATCAACCAGTAAAAACGGTGCAAAAGCATACTTAGATATACAAATAAAATAAAATCATTATATGCACTTTATTGTGCGAATAACTAGTGAATGTAGGTAAGCATGGTTGCACGCATATATATATATATATATATATATATATATATATATATATATATATATATATATATATATATATATATATATATATATATATATATATATACCACCGTGGTCAGGCCGGCATATTTTTCAAGCTTGCCCGGTGTGCATGGATATACACTCAGAGTAACATCATATATTCACCTGAGTACATACATAACACCATCACAGAAAATTCATGATTATTAGATTGCATTGATATCGAAGGAACTAGACTCAGTTCCGAAATATCACATACTCGAACCGACCTGACCGCGTACTTGGAAGTCTGGTGGAGCATTGTGCTAGTCAGTCCAAAGGTCGTGGGTTCGATTCCCACCGAGTGGTCAGGCATAATTTTCAAGCTTGCCCGGTGTGGATATACACTCAGAGTAACATCACAAACATCAATTATATATTTAATAAATAATTATGACGATCGACCCTTATATAATTCTGTTATTATTTTTACAAAGTTCATCAGTTAATATATTTAATTATTTATTCTCCTTTACGTTATCTTTGTAAACAAAGTTGACCACTACACGAATTAGACCGTTGGTTTAATATGAAATGATGTGGCAGTCTCTATAGGTTAGCTCAGCTATTTTAAAATACCCTAACTATACTTATCTATTTAATCTTGTAATATATTCATATGCATTGTCTCATATAAATAGAAATAAGTCTTTGATTGATTTGAATGTATTTGGCGATAAGTTAGGTGTTCCTTCAGCAAAATATTTTTTGACAGACATATTGGAATTTGAATCATTTAAACCGGGAAAACATAAATTTCATATAGAGTTCAAATAACACATTATTCTTGATTTAACATTAAATTGATTTTATATTAGTATTTAAAATTATTTGTCGTTGGCAATGTTTTCAGCGGAGTAGGAATGTTATACAAAGTAGATTTCCCATGATATTTTCTGAACCGTGATGACGGGGCGTGGTCAGTAAAATTGTTGATCTGGCTGCGTCCCTATACCTACACTGGTACAAACCGTTCGAGATTATATTTACTGTACACATCATATACCTGCATAAAATACTTTCACTGCTACTGGGGCCATTTTGCCACGATCGAGCCCGTTTGAAACATGCGAAGGTGAAAATTTCGTCTGAAAAACAATCAGTTTGATACTACCCCCACAAAAATTTAAATTAAAATTTAATTTAAATTTTATTTTGACCATAAACTCCGCGGGAGAAACTTTTTGAGCCGCGCGGAATCTCACAAATGGCAACAAGGTTCAAACATACAACTGTTGGCAAAATTCCTGATTTTTATAAATATAGCTATAGAAATGCTATACACAGAGTATAACAGAAATTCATCTTAAAACAGTAGCCGAATTTATCAGTATATTCGAGACGGACTCGTCTATGAAAACCCGTGTGAATATAAATTTGCATGGGGACGGAAATCCGTCTGAAATATATAATTTTATATGTGTATCCAATCTCGTACCCAAAGCCATCTCTGGGTACGAGATTGATGTGTATCTCGATAATTGTCTATAGTTTCAGTCTTTTACCGTGCTTTGTTGCAACGCTGTAGCCATCTCACTTAATCCATTAATTAACGTCTGCAGATTTGAGACGAGTTTCTCGTCTATACCTCGAAGCATGCTCCATTTACTGTTCGGAGTACTCCGCATTTTCGGAACACTAATGGAATGGAATAGAAGACAGTCACATGACTGTTCTGACTACCCCAATTTTCGAGTAGGGCAGCCAGAACAGACACGTGACACTGCCAATTTTCACGTGATTGGAAATGGAGGCGACATGCATATTTTCTGTGTCCAATGCACACTGCATAGAGTGTTATTTCGAAAGGTTAACCGCTATACTGACATACTGTATATCAACATATACTTATTACATGCTATTCCAACGCCAGGGTTGGGCAAAATCAATGAGTAAAAATGGTGCAAAAGCATACTTAGATATACAAATAAAATAAAATCATTATACGCTTTATTCATTTTTACTGAACGGGGAAAAGAAGCAGTATAATTAGCATTGAAAGTACAATTAGTTGTGAAATTTAAACTGAAATATTTGCTATAGCTAGTATGCATATGTGTGGAATTCCAAGATCGTATACAATTTCAAGGTATCGAAAGACTTCCAATTGCGAAAAGGTTATTACGAATTCAAAGCCTTCTGCGGATTAATGCCTGCGGCCTATAATCATAAATTGGTATTATTTCTTTCTCTGTGGGCTATGCTGAAGCCGTGGCTGAAGGAAATCAATATTTTGAAAAGAGTACCGCCTGACGGTGACTTTTAGCTTCCGGTCAGGAAGTTTCATGCGTTAGCAACAGTGCACATAAAAGTGCGGGTGAAAACTGCCATGTTCAGTATAACTAGACGGAGGAACAACCAACCAACCACAAAGTCAACCAAAAAATAAAGATGAAATCTTGGACAATTTTTGCTTTACTCATTGCAGTGTTTGCGGGTTTTTTTGGAATTGGGCACACTGAAGAACTCGACGATTTTGAAGAAAAAGCCTTTGAAGTTGTTGATAGCAACACAGAACAGTAAGTTTGTATAAAATTATTTATATTTCTGAAAACAAGACGAATGCGATTTTGCGCATGCTTTCGATATACGAAATGTTCAAAGCAAGTCGAATGAAAAACATAACGTCTTGCTTAGAATTGGATGCATGACCGGAACTACTTATGTAAGACTATATTTTAAATAGAGAAACATTCGTCTACTCACGGTTTTTTTTTTATTTTCAACTTTATCCATATACGCCGATTAGAAATATAAAGGTATACATTAAGATCATGCAACATCTCGGGTTATATAACGGATATATAGATCAAACTTAACAACTTGAGGGTTTACAGTTTAACTGCATGGACCTTTAAACACAGTACTTGCAACACTAATTCTATTTAGATTGAAACGCATGCATGAGAATTTGCATAGCTGTATAGGTTCCTATATACGCGGGATTTTACTGTATCACTTGCTGAAACCTTATAGTTCTAATTAGATACCCTTTAAAAAATTCAATCATCTCTATCGCTGCATTTTCAGCGAAAACGCCCTAGAATTCGAAGATGCGAAGATTCCATCAAACGACGAAGATGAAGCTGCCATGTTCAAGCGTGCACCATGGCGTAGACGTAGGTGGCGCTTACGGCGAAAACTTCGTAGAGTCCGTCGAAAAATTCGAAGTCGGAGAGTGTGGGACGTTATTTGCACGATAGTGGGATACACCAGAGAAGGTGGGTATACTATAGTACTGCTTTGGAATTTGAAAAACCAAGTATATAGACCGAGTTCCTGAAAGCTGCATGCCGTTCGGGCGATTGTTCAAAATTGGATCAGTTTAATAGCACTATCTACGCCTAAGCAGTAAGCAGGAGTATAATATAAGCTTAACACAAATCTGAGGTGCATGGGTGTATATTTATGGTTACAGCGAGTTGAAGTCGATTTATCAAATGCTTTATTGTAGCCGGTTTTATTGTGGGTGCAGTTTGGGGGAGTTAACTGGCGATCAGTGTGATACTTGCCCAACTTATAAGGAGTAAAGCGACTGACCAAGGAGAGACTGGATTTATTGCCATGGTTTAAGGCAATTTAGGTCGATTTAATTAAGATACCGGGTCCGGGCTTTGGTGTTCTCAGTTAGAGTTGTTTTTACGGTTTATTGAATTGATTAATTGGTTAAATGTAACGATACTTCAAATAAGACTTTTGAAAAATAAAACGTGCAGCTCTAAACCAAATGTGCTGTTCTAAATGAATTCATCTACAGTAAAAACCTGCATAAAAAGACCATTGGGTTAAGAACCATCTGAAATTTAGGCAATTATAGCATCCTAACATGAATGATACCCAAATGTCAAAGCACTCAAATTCATATCAGTTAGATACAAGCTTATTCATACGGCCGCCCCATTCATGCAGGATCACATTTCGATTCACAAGTTGGTTTATATGATAATTTATAATAGCATTATAAAATCAGTCTCCGTGCTGCCCCCCCCCCCCCCCCCCCC